ACTCTTGCTGCAGCATTTTGGATTAGCTGAAGGCTTCTCAGTGAGTTTTTTGGACATCCTGATAATAATGAATTACAGTGGTGATAAAAACAGAGAGAGGCTGACAGGGATGTTTTTAGGGGTTTATTGAGATTAAATAGAACAAGATACAAAACATGTTAAAAACACAACAGCCTTAGTAAACACAGACTAGTTCGGACCTGGAGGCAGGATTCATACGTCATCACTTATAGACCAGGTTGTGTTGACAGTCAGAGGGTTCATATTTTACCTGTTGGTAATGCACCTGCAGGTCTCAGCCAATTACAGCCAGCACAGGTTCAGGTGTCAGTCTGATCTGGTCTCTGATTCGTTCTCAGGGATCTTCTGCACCATCTCCCTGTGCACATATGCAGCCAGCGTGACCTACGACCTCTCCAGAAACCCGCCCTTCATCTACGGCCTGCCGGCTGACGTGGATCACGGTTATGGCTGGTCCATCTGCTGCGCCTGGGCCAGTCTGGGTCTCACTGTAGCGTCTGGCTGCCTCGGCACCACCTTCCCCTTCCTGAGCCGGGCCGGAGCACTGCGGTCCAAAACCGCCCACGAGTCCTCCGTCTGAGGCGAGGAAGAGGATGATTCTCGGACGACAAAAGGTGTATTTTTGGCCGGTTCCGTAATAGGAGGGGCCTCGGACTGCAGACGGAGCTGCGCACCTGTTCGTGCTCCTGATTTGGACCCAGCTCAGGTCACCTCAGCGTGCACTCTGAGCCTCGCCTGGTTCCTGTGATCCATCTCTGCAGTGGTGTGGCCAAAGGTACCATCAGTGATCAAGTTAATAAAAGATAAATTAGCTGTTGGTCAATCAGGTGAGTCATCTGTACTTACCTGACATCAAACATGTAAAGCCCAGTTGAGAGTCAGACAGGTGGCCAGGTCTCAGCAGCTGTCTGTCAGTCAGCTCTGACTCACCGTTTTCTTTCTGCTGTCCCATCGTCCAATCAGAAGCTTCATCGGTGTGAAAGTCACCTGAACTGAGGCAGGTCACAAAGCTGCTGCAGCTGGGTCCCCATCAGGAGCAATAACAGGAAACACACACACACACACACACACACACAGGTGTGCGCTGGGATCCAAACCTGCTGCAGGTGTGATCTTCATGGAGCCTTCCCATGCGGATGTTTCGGAGCGCTGTGCTCCGATCAGTCAGTTGGGCGGAGCTTCAGGTGCACGCGAGCGCTCTGAGCTCAGGTGAGTGTTATCCAGTCATGCGGGGTTCACACGTTGCTTAGGCATTTGATGTTCGGGTGTGGCCTTCTTAGTGATGACAGCCAATTACAGACAAGCAAAGCTGATTGTTCTTGTTCGGCTTGGATCCACAAGCCAGTTCAAAACGTGATAGGTGTGAATCCCGCCTGATGGATCAGAGTCTGAGCTGCAGAGCGTCACGTGACCAGGTGGCGTGCTGCAGGTTTGGATGGCGGCGGCCGCTCACAGATGTGTATATAAATGTGCTTTCAGCTGCGAGCTGAGCCACAGACTGAACCCTTTACTCTGCGACGCTGAGCAGGTGCTGCTCACTGACTTCAGGCTTCCCGCAGGAGGGAACGCACTAACAGATGATCCAGGTATCAGTGCTGCCGCTCTGTTATCAAACAAAGGAGTTGACCTTTAACCTCTGACACCGACTCCTCTGTAAACAGGGTATGACACCATTTATGTTTAAGCTTTTTCAGGTATCAGCCTCTGAGACTCTGCATCAGCCTATCGGAAGCCCCGATGCCTTCTCGTGACCCCCCTGTACGAGCAGAATCGGACGTTTGAAGTTCAGGCTCTGAGCTTTCAAAAACATCTGGAATTACAAACATTCATCCACCAGCTGCAGACACCAAACTGAGAATGTCCACAGCATCCTTCCCATCATCAGGAGGAGGAGCGTGAGGAGGAGTATCAGGGGGACGGACCCATCGAGGTCTTTAGGCTCCTGAGGGAGAATGACGGTGGATGAAATGTTTGTGTGCGGCTCAAAGTCAGAACTTTATTTAATTTCAAGCCGACACGCAGAGTGAAACGGTGACTCACCATCACTATCGACCTTTAACCTGTAGATTCCACACTGAAAGCTCCCATGTTCCTCCTGATACCCCATCATAGCTCCACTGTCCCCTCATGGAACCTTTGCTGCCCCCTGCTGGACACAGCTGTAAATACATGGTGTAAACATGATGGGACTCGTCACCTGTAGCTGCTCCTGTGGAAGATCTGTCAGCATTTGTTGGATGTATTTATATCTGAGAATTAAATATTTGTTAAATGTGTGTGAGGCGTGTTATTGTGGTTCTGATAACATCACATAATGAAGAGGCGCAGGCTTCACTGAGCACATCAGGGCAGCACAACTCACGTGGACTGGATCCAGTTACCAGGTGAGTTAGAAGGTACCCGGTGGAGACAGTCACATGTGCTGCTGCTCAGAAAAGTCTGTCATTCACCTGTAACATGAACCGTGTGACCCGGGTAGTTGGAAGAGCTGATGTTCTCACGTGTGCAGGTTTCGTATTTTCTAAAAGGTACCTGACCCAGCCTGGCCCTGAGCGAATCTAAATGTTTGTCACTGAAGAACATTTCAATAAAGTTTCTTCCAGCACCATCAGATGCTATGAAGCAGTTCAGCACAACTCGGAGGGAAACGGTGACTTGTGACCATGAAGAAGAACCACTGAAACCCAGAAACAGGAGCTCAAACCATGAGGGAGACGTATGTCTGTGAAGGTTCTCAGTCATCCAGGTCATTGCAGTCGAAGGAGCTTGGAAAGAAAAGCGTCTGGACTTCTTTAAGTTGCTTGAAGACGTTTCACCTCCATTCATCGGCGAGACCAAACAGCCACTTCACAAGTGCATGGCACAACATAGAAGAGCCACCTCCACGGGACAAGACTCAGCAGTCCATCTGCATCTAAAGGTCAAAGGTCACTCTTTCAAGGATGCCAATGTTCACATTTTGGACAGAGAGGACAGATGGTTTGAAAGAGGAGTGAAAGAAGCATCTATGTCCACTGTGAGCGACCATCTTTGAACAGAGGGCGGGGCTTACGACACCAACTGTCTGCCATCTATAATCCAGTTTTGAGATCCTTCCCATACGCCTTAACGCCCACTCACATCCTGGGCCATCTGACCTCAGGAAATCACACGATAGGTTTCACAATGAGCTCCCCCAAAACCCTGGCTGATTGGGACCCACACCCGTTTTTATACCTTGGCTCATGTGATTAGAGGATCATCAGGGGGTCCTTTTGTCCCTCTGTGGGGGGAAACTCCCACTGGGTTTAAATCTGGGACTCTCCACCATTTGACTCTTAGAACAGAAGAAGCTTCTCGGCTGAGAGGTGAAACGTCTTCAAGCAACTTAAAGAAGTCCAGACGCTTTTCTTTCCAAGCTCCGTCGACCATGAAGGTGACAAAACTAAAGAATCAGGAAACTGGAGAGAGGTCTGAGAGCTCTGAGTCTGCCCAGAACGCTTATAAGAACAAGGTGCGCCATCACAGAGATGTTAAATTGTTTAAATATGCAGGGACTCGGCTGCTTATTATCACAATGACAAAGAGACTGTGCTTAGAGTGATCATCTTCAGTTTATGTTGAAAACTTTTTATTTTTTCAAACACATAAATCATTAAAAGTTCCCTAAAATCTTCAGCAGCCTCTCAGGAAACATGAGAGCCTTTATTTCCACTCAGCTCTTTGGGGGTCAGCACAGTCCCTGTTCCGTCCTCTTCTGGCTTCACTGGGGTGGCTGTGGCTCAGGTGATAGAGCAGGTCACCTGCTAATCTGGAAGGTGGGTGGGTATCAGATGTCAGGTATCCTTGGACGAGATACTGACCTGAAGTCACTCTCAAATGAATGTGTGCGAATGTCAGATAGAAAGAGCACAGAAAAAAGTGCTTGTGTGAAGAATGAGGCAAGCTGTGTGAAGTGCTTTGAGTGCTCAGACTAGAAAAGCACCATATAAGAACCAGTCCATTTACTGTTCCAGTGAGAGCAGCCTTAAGCTCAAAGCTATTTTAAAAACCCACTACTCCTTTACAGCTGCCTGTGGACGCCAAAGGGTTAAAATATCCCCATTTATTGTCTAAATCCAGCCATCCAGTCAGATCATGGTAGCAGTAGGTTAAACAGCTATTCCAGAAACCAAGGTGTTGCCGGGTTAGATAATATCAATCAGGTTATGGGTGCAGCTCAGTGCTGCCGGTGAAACAGAGAGCTCTTTGGATCTGTGGAAAATATTAGTGTGTATCAGGAAGTCAGAACAGTCATTGCTGTAAATGATCCTGAGGTCCTGATTCATCTTCCAGTTGGTCGACATTTCTGTTTCCACGGGGCTGATGGTTGTGTGAGTCTTTGTCCAGCAGGGGCTAGCTCGTTTTATGTCTGATACACACATATCTAAAAATTATTTTTAAGATTAGATAACCTAGATTAGTCCCACATGTGGGAAATGTGTTTGTTACAGCAGTGGACAGTGCAAAGTTGCATAGAAAAATTAGAAAAAAAACACTGGAATAATATATCTATGAGATACTGTACACAATAGAATAAAATAAAAATAAAATACTATATACACAATCGAATAAAATAGAATACAAATGCTATATACAACTGAGTATAATACAATGATGCCAAAAAGAGTATTGCACATAGTGTTATTGCACGTGTGGATGTGTTTGATCAAGTCTTTGTTGTGGAGTCTGACAGCAGTGGGGAGGAAAGACCTGTGGGACCGAGAGATTTTCTTTTGTACATTAAGATTTTGTGTACTTTTTGATATTTTGGTGTTATTTTTTGTTTTGTATTTATTTATTCTTTGATAAATTTTGAATATTTTTGTTTCATATTTCATTTTTTTTGTTGAATTTGGAATCTTGTTAGTTATTTTTAGTCCTCACTTGTCGACATGGCTGCCAACGTCACTGTGACACGCGCAGTGAAGCACGCTCTCCTGCGCAGGAGCCCCGCCCATATACGTCAGGACTCGCCCTGTACGCATGTGCAGCCGATACTCTACGGTTCCCCAGACTCTGGTGACAACAACCGCCCTCAGTTAGCTCACGGACTGTCCGCCTGTCAGGGGCCCGGGGCCGGACGCGCCGTCTGAGAGAGTCCGGGGGACATAGTGTGGGCAGCGGACGCTAAGCGAAAGCCACAACGCCGGAGAGTCGGTGTGCCTTTGGTCCGCACCGCCCGCCCGCCCGGTAACAACGCGCCCGCTGCCCGGCAGCTGCTGGCCGGTCGGTCCGTTTACCGAGCCGCCGCTAACGCTAGCAGGCGGGCTAACGCCGCGGCAGATCAGCGTCCCGGTGGCCATTCGTCATGCTCTGCACCCGGTGAGCGGAGCCGCGGGCAGCTGCTAGCCAGGAGCTAACGGCTAGCTCTCCGAGGATGGTCGCAGTGAGGGCGGCTGCTCTGGAGGATCGGCCCGGATGTTCTGAGCTTCACGGCTTCACCCGCCCTGCTGGACCCGGACTGCCGCTCACCGAACCGGGCGTGTGAGTCCGGCTGCTCAGACCCGCGGGAGCGGCAGCCATGCAGGCGGCGCAGCCGCAGTACGACTTCTTCAGCGAAGAGAACGGTCCGAAATGGAGAGGCCTGCTGGTGCCCTCACTGGAAAAGGTAAACACACACACGAACCCGAACAGAGACACACAGGCAGACCTTCAGGTGTGTGCAGGTGAGCTGTGTGTGTCCTTACGGTGCTCTGAGCAGGTGTTTGTCTCACCCGAGTCCACCCTCGGGTTGTGGTGCATCGTGGTTACTGAGCATCACGGTGGTCGGCAGGTAAAACTCCACAGAACGATGACAAGAGCTTCATCAGAGCCTTGTGCTGAGGCTGATCCATAAATACCTGGATCATTGTGTCCTCACCTGTTTAGAGGATCACCATCGTCAAACATCAGTCGGACCTCACACTGAAGGTGTTAGTAGTGAGGATGATGATGGTGGTTGAAAACCGAAGGCTCTTCCTCCCATTATACTTTTAAATTATTACTTTTAAAGGATTTTGAATTCTGGATTTAACAGGAAGCCAAAACAGGAGAAATCTGCTCTCTCTTTCTAGTCTGTCAGGACTCTTGCTGCAGCATTTTGGATCAGCTGAAGGCTTTCAGGGAGTTTTTAGGACATCCTGATAATAATGAATTACAGTCGTCCAGCCTGGAAGTAATAAATACATGAACTAGTTTTTCAGCGTCACTCTCAGACAGGATATTTCTAACTTTAGAGATGTTGCACAAATGGAAGAAAGCAGTCTTACATATTTGTTTAATATGTGCGTTGAAGGACATGTCCTGGTCAAACATGACTCCAAGGTTCCTCACAGCTCCATCCTCATCTGCATAGCAGTGTAAATGTGTGCTATGTCTTCTAATGATGCTGCCTAAGGGAAGCATGTATAATGTAAACAGAATTGGTCCTAGCACTGAACCCTGTGGATCTCCATAATTAACCTCAGTGTGTGAAGAGGACTCTCCATTTACATGCACAAACTGGAGTCTAGTAGATAGATATGATACAAACCACTGCAGCACAGTACCTGTAATACCTACAGCCTGGTTGGAGATTGGCCTGTAGTTAGCAAAGAGCTGTGTGAACAGATGCCTTTTACTCAGAAAGATCAATTGGAGAAAAAGAGTCTAAATGAACATCAATGGTACTAAGAGTAGCTGTAGATAATATTACATCTGTGGGATGATTATTGGTCATTTTTTCTCTAAAGATTAAAATGTTATTTGTGAAAAAGTTCATGAAGTCATTACTAGTTAACGTTAAAGGGATGGTTGGCTCAACAGAGCTCCTCTGAGTTTGTTATCCCTGATATGAGGTAACTTCAACTCTGAGTCACTTACCATGGTAACAGACTGTGAACCTAACCTGATAACTGGCAGGTGTTATTCAATAAATGCTGAGTTTCCCTCCTGCTGCACCTGAACCAGCTGACTGACCCTCTCATTTGTTTCCTCGTTCATAGTTGCTGCCAACGCGCACAGAGGAGCAAAATCTGCTGCAGCAGTTTGTTTTTACAAAAACTGAAGTCCCAGATTAATGTTAGTTTGTTGGTTACTTAACGTGAAGCTTTTGCAGTCATTAAGTCGCCAGTATAACAGGACAGAGGCAGCGATGACATCAGAGTCAGATGTCTGTGGACACTGATGCTGTCAGTCTGTCAGTTTCCTTGCAAACATTTCACACTGATTGATGATCAATCGTCTGTCTCATTGCTCCAGTCGCTCTGATGGATAAACGTGCGTCACAGTTGGATCTTGGAGATGACGTGAAAATCTGAGTGAAGCTGACGCTGAAGGGACTTTAAGACTCTAACACAGAACTAAATGTGTTTAAAATCAAGTTTTAAGTGCAGCAGACAGCTAGGGCTGGGCCATATTATACCGTTCACGGTAACACCGGTGTAATGTTGGGCAACGATAAGAAAATGAAATATGGCGATAGAATATGGGTAAAACGCGCATGCGCAGTGCCTTTGTTTTCATGCGCACATGGGGGCGACGGAGAACGAGAAGGGCGAAAGCGGATCGTTGAATGAAACGGATGAACCAGAACTGGTTTGTAAAATGCTGCAGCTTCAGTGGTGTGGAACTGGTTTAGCTTTCGTCCGTCAGATACACAACAAAGCACTAGCTGGCCGTTGTTATTACCGTGTTTTTTTGGAAAATACGGCGCACTTAAAATCAACCCTTTGAGTTTCTGAAAAGTGACAGAGCTCCTTATAATCCCGTGCGCCTTATGTATGAACTCTGGTTGTGTTTACTGACCTGGAAACGATTTTATGTACACGGCGCTC